CAACAAAAGATTTGATTTCTCCTTTGATTTTGAAGCTTAGTTTAGCAGGATATAGAAGTCTGGGTTGAAAATTGTTTTATTTATGAAGGCTAAAAGTAAATGACCATTCTCTTCTGGATTGAAGTTTCAGTTGAAAAGTCTGCTGTCATTCTAATGGATCTACCTCTGTAGGTCAATTAGTGCTTAGTCCTACAGACGTCCTTAGCTTGCAGAATATTCTCTTTTGTTTTTTCCTTGGATAGGTTCATTACAATGTGTCTTGGAAAAGCTCTATTTGATATCCCAGGGTTTGATATCCCTCTGAAAGGAGTCTGTTGGAATCTTTAGTGAATCTTGGGAATTTTTCATTTATGATATCCTCCAATAGGGCTTCCATTCTTTTGGGATTATCTTCTCCCCTTCAGGTATCTCTATAATTAGTTTATTTTGGTGCTTCCTGAAGTCTTGTAATTCTCTGAGTGACTGTTCTGCTTTCTCTCTTCTTTTCTATCTCTTTAACTACCTGGGTTATCTTATGAACTTTATCCTGCTCTGAGATTATTTCTTCTTCATGGTCTAATCTGTTATTGAAACTTTCTACTGCATCTTCAAATTCTTTGATTTATTCCTTCATTTCCTTAAGTTCTTCCATATCCTGTCTATGTTCCTTTGTCTTTTATTCATTTTTTGGTTCTATTTTTCCACTTTCTTATCAATTTCCTTTTTTTGCCTTTATTGTCCATATTTTAAATATCCTTTCTATCAATTCCATTAGTTCTTTATGGGTGGAGTACTGTCTAGTTCCCAAGTCATGGTCCCTTGGGGGAGTTATTCAGTTTTGGCTTTTCATGTTGGCAGAATTTCTCTGTTGGTTCTTCCTTATGTGTGTTTTCTTATTATTGCCTTAGTTTCCTGCTTGCCTTACTGTTCCTTCTTACAGCCTTCTTCACTTTAAATTACCTTATCTCAGATCTTAGGTGTTGAGGTGGCCTCTTGGTATAAGTCTAAAAGAAAGAAAAAGGTAAAGAGCAAGCAGGGAGAAAGAAAAGTAAAAGAAAGAAGAAAAGAGAAGGAAAAAAGAAAAGAAGGGAGATTAAAGGAAAGGACTGAAGAATAGGAGAGAAGGAGGACAGAAAGAGAGAATGAGAGTGACAGAAGAAATGATATTGTTCAGTGTGGTGCTATGGCCATGCTTGTAACTCAAGGATTTTGGGGGGATAAGCTGGGTGGGTCCCTGAAAATCAGGAGCTCCTTACCAGCCTGAGCAAAGCAAGATCCTACCTCTGGAAAATATAAAAAGAGAAAGAAAAGAAAGAGAGAAAAAAGGAAAAGAATTTAAAAAGAAAAAGAAAAAGAAAAATTCAGCATGGTGAACTTGCCAATGCTTTTTTCTCAAAGGTCAAAGGTAGAAGTACTCTCTAGACCATGATCTCTTTTATTTATTTATTTATTTATTTATTTTTATTAAGTCAGATACACATAGATCATGAATACATTTATGCATATGTGGGGTACATTGTGTTGATTTTTTTTTATACAATGTGACATGTTTACATCAAACCAATCAACATAGCTTTTGCCTCATTTTAGACCATGATCTATTAACTTCCTTGAGCCAGAGCACTGCTGTGAGCTCCCAGCCAAAACAATGCCGTGACACCCCAACACTCAGAGAAAAGAGAAAAAAAAGAATAGATAAGGAAAATTAAAAATACAATTGTATCAGATAAAGGAGAAATAAAGAAGGGGAAACAAAAACAAAGAAAAAAAGGGGGGGGATATCTTAACTGTTCTATGAACAACTTATATGGGAATGATGTAAAAAGTGACAAGTATCTAGTGAAAGAGAGAAAAAAGAAGAGAAGTAAAATAGAGGAAGATAATAAATGAGGCTTTAAGACCATAACAAATACAGGAATCCTTGGTCTTGAAGAAAGTAAAAATGGAAATTAAAAATTGAAACAACCAAATTAGCAAAAAAAAAAGCCCAACTCAAATAGCCAAAAACAATGATAACCTGAGCAACAAAAAAAAGAACAGAAAAAAAAATACTAAAATTTTTTTTAGTGGAAGGGAGCAACTATAATAGGAATATATGTACATATATGTATATATAGTAATATATTGCCAGGACACCAGGTGGCGCTGTGGTGGTAGGAGAACTCATGCCAGATACCATTTTCTAGCTTCTGAGGAGTACAGGTCCTCTTAGTTGCCCTTGGTGGGTTCCTGATTGTTTCCTCCACTTTCAGTCCCTGCCGGGTAGGGGTATTAAAGCTCCCAGAAAACTTAGGAGGCAAGTCTCACAGTGCCCCCTGACAAGAATTCCTGGGGTGTGTGCGAGCCACTCAGCTCTCCTCAAAAGTGGAAGCTGGATCAGAGCCAGCTGCGTTCTAAGCCCCTGCACACAGACCTACCCATAGGCCTTCCCTCATTGGCAGCCAGCAGACAAGCTCCTGGTAAATCCACTCCACCAAGTTTTCACCTGGTTGCTGCACATTGTTCAAGTTGTCCACTCTTCCAAGATTTCGACTCAATGTATAGCTTCCCCTGAAATCCAAAACCTACAGAAAGGCTCCCTCCCCAACCCAGACCTCTGTCTGTGTGTGTGTGTGTGTGTGTGTATGTGTGTGTATGTGTGTGTGTGTGTGTGTGTATGTGTATGGGGGATCCGGTCCCCACCAGCTTCCAGGCACTTGCCTACTCAGTCTTCCACAGCTCCAGATGTCTTGCTGTCTCTTGTGGTCTACTACTGCCTAGTTGTGCCCCCTGAGCAAAGAATCCAGGTAGCTTGCCCACGCTAATATGGTTGGGTTCTCTCTTTCCCCTGAAGAGATGGGAGAGGCCATCAGAGAGAGTCTTCTAGTTTGACATCTTGCTTCCTATCCATATTTTCTGAATCAGCATGTTGGGGGTTGGGGGGAAACCTTCTAGGAGGTTTCCAGGCAATGTTGCTGCAGACTGTTCATAGTTCACCCCCTTTCTCCACATTGTTCACAGCACACAGCAGGAGCGTGGCTGTGCTGTAAGATGTACTAGCTGAATGTAACCACAGACTTCTCCAAAATTTCTCCTTACCTCTATTCCTAAATCATATATATATATGTAATATATATGAAAAAAAGTATATATAAAAATACATACATGAAATATATATATAAAATATTATATATATGGCCCATTACCATTTTAATAGAAATGAATTTGGATGTTTGAAGGTGAACAGTTCTAGAAAACTATAAAATAAACAATGAATAAGTGGAAATGTAAAGTAAAAATACATTGATACAGCACAGACACCAAGCAAGGACCCTGAGAGCAGAAACAGCCTTCTTAACTTTTATCCTTGGGTATGTCCCAGTCACCTAAACTATTACTCCTCATCCACCCTGCCTCTCACTCTTCCTCACTGGAAAAATGAGAAGCAATATTCTATTACAATGACTCCTTGAAGATGGACTATAGTTGTAGTAAGGACAAAGATGGTTTTCTTCAGAGGAGTTCAGAGTAGAAACACGAAACACAGAATGATTTTTGGCTAAGTGGAAAATATTGTAGCAAGAAGAGGAAGATCTAGAATATGAACTAAAGGAGAAAAGGAAGGAAGGAGATGACTTTGGAAGAAGACCATCAACTTGACAGTCAGCACTCAGATAATTTTTACTGGGAAAATGCGTTTGCAGGGAAGAGATCTTTCCAGGGATTCACAAACAGGCAGCACTAACCTCAAGGAACTTAGATATAGGGGAGGTAGAAACACCAGATAATTGTAATGCTATGGGTGCTGAGTACAGAGGGTCTGTGGGTGATACAAGAAAAAGAGGGTTACTCCCATGGCAGCAGTGGGAATGGCCTCCTAGGGAAGAAGCTTCTCAGCTCAGCTTTGAGGGCAAGAGAGTTATCCAGGCAGAGACAGAGAAAGTATATGAAAAATGCCCTCCTATGCAATACAATTATCTCAGCTTATGTACATTTAGTTTACTTTGAGAATTGAGAGTTAAGCAGAGGCAAAAAAGGAAACTTTAAAAAATAGAAAGTCAAAGGAAATCACCATTAAGTTGTATATATTATATTTCTTTTATTCTGAGGCATTCTTTCTCACATTTTAATTATAAGACATAGGTCATACTATTTATACAGACTTGTATAAACTGACTGTTTCTACTGGTATTGCAATTATAATTTATCTTAAAATCTGTAGAAAGTCTGCTTTGAATAATTGTGATGGTCATTTGATAAAATGTGATGAGACCTACAACTGGGTTAACACTGTGGGATTCTAGGTTTCTTGGTCTTTATTCCAAATGGAAGAGAGGACACGATGACATCTCAAGTTGTATTGTGATAGGATCTGTTAAAACCACATGTTACAGAGTTACATAAAAGATATTTGTACACCCGTGTTCACAGCAGCATTATCCACAACAGGTCAAGGTGGAGGAGAGTACAGTGTCTACAGATGGAAGAATGGATGACCTGCATGTGTCAGGCCCACAAAGGAGAAACCCTGTTACAGGCTACAACACATTGAGCATTTGGGAGCTTACACTAAGTGAAATAACCAGTCATAAAATGACAGTTGCCGCACTTGTGTATGAGAAAAGTCTACTTACATGACTTCTCTAGCATTGGTAAATTCAAAGATACAGAAAGTACAGTGCTCCTGTTCAGAGGCTGAGGAAGGGGGAAGTGAAAAATTGCTGTTTAATAGGAATATAGTTTCAGTTTTGAGGGATGGAAGAGCTCTGGAGATTGTTTCATAACAATGTGAATGCACTTAACATTATGCAAATGTGCACTTAAAATAATTACTCAACTGTGCACTTAAAAAATGGTCAAGATGGTAAATTTTGTACTGTGTATATTTACAGGATTATAAAATATGTATGTCCACATAAAGGACACGGGGAAGGGGGGAATGGTCTGCTGGAAAGATTGTTACTGAAGCAATGAAATAGACAAAATGTTGAAAAGAATAGGAGCTTGGGAAGAAAAGAGAGATTAATAAAAACCCACCAAACTCACCGGCGCTTTATATAACACAATGCAAAGCACAGCAAAAGGATGAAGGAGGGCACTAATACTGCCAAACAAATTAAGGCAATGGAGGTGGGTTGTCCTGGAAATTGGCAAAGGAAAAGATAATGTCATGTCCCATCCCATGCCCTGAATCCCCTGGCATTTGTGGATACTTCCATGCCAGCATCACCACTCACCTGCTGCCAATGTGTGGTAATCTCCACCTTCTTCCCTATATTCCTAATTCCATCCCTCCATCTTGTGATCATTTTAGCCCACTCCCTTAACCTGCAGGTCCTTCATATTTACCTTTCATATCTTGGCTCCTCTATTTTTGCTAGTGTTAGAATTTGTGTCCCAGAAATGAATCAGTCTCTCTCTCTCCCTCTTCATCTGTCAAGCCCCATGCCTCCCAAGTGCCTCCCTCCCTCCCTGAGGACCTCCTCCCCTGTCCAGCCTGGACCCTGTTCTTTCTCACCCCAGTAGAGGACGATGTCCTGGCCCTCTAGACTGCTGTGCTTCACCCGGCAGGATAGGCCTGCTGCTTCCCGAGACTCCACATCCAGGGTGGCTCGGAGATACCATGTCCAGTCTGCATTGGGCAGGAGGTCACTGTGCTGAGTGCCCGGCTGCTCCTGCTCACCCTGCATCCACATCACCCACACGGGCTTTGGGTAGAATCCTGAGACATGGCAGACCAGTAGCAGACGGCCAGGCCCGGGACTGGGGCCACTGGACAGCCAGGCCTCGGGCTTCCCTAGTGAGACAGGAAAGAGCAGTGAGAATGTCTTAGCATGACTTGAATTGAGAGAATGACTCAGAAACCTCCACGGGTTGACAAAGACCCCTTCTGTGGCTGTGAGAACCACATTACTCTTTGATTAGCCCCTGTCTTTCTTGTGTACCTCTTAGTCTTGAGCTAAGACCAGCAAGTGGGAAGTAGTAGTAGAGAGCAGGACTCACCTTGCCTTTGCAGCTCTGCCTTCCCTGCATCCAGGACGCTCAAGAGAAATAGGGGGCAGGTTTCTAACAGGAGCTTCTTCCAAGTAACATCGAAAGCATGATATTCCATGACTCGTGTGCAGATCTGCTGGGCCCTTCTGCCCCATTCTGGTGAAGGTATACAGGTATCATTGACAAGTTTCATGAATTCTAGTCCTTCTATAGCGAGACTGAAGAAGTTTACTATGGATCCCCCAGAATGTAGCTCACAGCCTGCTATGCCCTGGATCTCAATGGGATCTATGGAGAAAGAAGATAGAGAACAAGTCATGAACTATGAATACAAAAGAAAGCCATGAGAAAAGGATGTAGGATGTTAGATTTTGATTGAGATGAAGTTCTTGGATGTGAAATTATGAGCCAACAGCAATTCAGCATTTAGAGCTTCCAGAAAGAAGAGCATTGGGAAGGTGTGAAATAGTAGAAGGGGGGTGGGGAGGCAGAGTGTGATGCAGCCCAGAGCACAGACTTTAGCATGAGACAGAGGACCACAGCAAGAGCAGTTCAGGGAGGAGATGACTGAAGAGATGGATCAGAGGAAGGAGTCACAGTGCAGGTCACTCAGGACAGGGAGGGAATAAGGGCCCTTGAGGAGCCAGGTCCACATAAGACAAAGCAGAGGTTGGTTGTAGGGGGCCTGGATCTCTCAGAGAAGAGTTGGAGGTGGCTGGAATCTGCAATAAGGTGTGAGGTGCTGCTCTAGGACAGAGTGTACACACAGGTAGAGCAGAAAGCAGGGAGGAGTATCAGGGGCATTAGTAATTTGCAAAAAGAGAAGAAATCCCTTTAGAGTCTTTTCAATTTAGAGTTTTGAACTCACATTCCAGCTGGAATTCACTGGCATGTGCCTGTACATCTCGTATAAATCTACGTAACTGGATTTGGATTAGTTCCTCCAGCTCAGCAACCTTCTCTTCACTAAAGTTTCCCTTGGACCAGGGCTTCAGGAATATGATAGTGCCTGAGTCACTGTCCCAGCTGTGAATCTGCAAATCATCCAACCAGCCTGAAAGCTGGCTTTGTGCCCAGGTTCTGTTGGCAAATGATGAAATCCAGATGACATGGAGAGAAGTTGGTCCCTGGAAATCTGTGAAAAGAAAAAGATAAGCAGGAGGGAGTGAGATGGAATGGAAATGGAAAAGACCCAGACAACAGGAACCTATGTGTTGAAGAACACATTAAGGTTGACACATTTGACTGCCTCAGGACTTCAGGCTCCAGTTCTAACACTTGGAAAGATAGAAGAGGGCTGGAGACCGCAGGGCTCAGAACTTTTGTGTACAGGTGCATCTGGGTAGTACAATCTACTTTTACCTAAGACACCTGCAACAGTGCTTGGAGCTGCCAGAGTGACTCTTACCATCCTCATTGTCAGCGCCTGGGAGGAGAACAGCTAGCAATTGAAATGGTAGAAGCAGCATTTCACAGGGAGATGGAACTTCTGACTTGTAGAGCTGGTGTTTGATCTCTGATGTCAGCAAACCTTCTCCTCAGTAGCTGAAGTGACTTCCTCTCTCTTCCAACTGACAATGATCTTCTGCATGCAAATTGTGCTTCAGAGAAAAAGAATCTGCCTCCCACATCCTTTAGCCTTGCACTTGCCTCTTGTCTCCCCTAGCCCAGCCCTGACTTCTAGACATCTCTTTCCTGCCTGACTTCCAATTGTTCTCTGTGCCTTCAGTTTCCTTCTGACCACGTTGAAAAGGCCCCATATGATTCTGAAAGGTCATTTCACCTTCCTAGCCTTTATTCCCATGTGTGTAGCGTAAGAGGTTGACATAAAACAATTGCTTTGCTTCCAATCGGCTATAGCCTAGATGGGGCCTTTGGTTTGTCCACCCAACTCAACCTTCTTCCTTCCCTGCTGCCTTCTCTTCTCAGGCCCTCTGTCACTGCTTCCTAACATTCTCTATGTCTCCTCTTTCTTATCTCACCGTGCTTATCTGATGTCTTTTACCCTCCTTTATAGGCTGGATGGCTGTGTATATGTTTTTTTTGTGTGTGTGTGTGTGTCTGATATTACTTACATGAAAGCAGATATTTTAAATGCTACATGTGCTGTAGAAATAGTGACCCAAATCCCAGAATCAAATGCTATAGATACTGCCATTCATAATCCAGGCTATATTATCTCCTACTTTAGCCAATGTTGAGGGGAAAATGGCACTTACTACTGGTATATGTCTTTCTCTTTAGTAGCTCTTGATTTTTGGAGTTTCTTTTTTTTTTTAACAAGTGTTCAGGAGATAATTAAAACTCCTGGTATTGTGCTTTGTGCACCTCACCTCCGATCTAAGTCATAGGTGCCCCTTTTAACAAGATTCTATCAGCAGTAGAGCCATATTCTCCTTTTCACGACCTCTGTCTACATTTATGCCTTCCCATCAGCATATAAGGTGTTAATAAAGGGCCAAGGAGATGTTACTATACCAATTACTCAGAGATGTTCATTATAAGGGATCATCTCCTGTCCTCTCTTTGTATGCCTTTTGCAAGTTTTGACAATATGTTTAGAATCCACTGACTGAAAAATTTTAATTCAACTAATATGTTGGTTTAAAGCATGATGTTTTATTGCAAGCATAAAGTGAAGTTTATTGAAGAAGAAAAAGATAGGTTTGCAGAGCAAGAGCAAGACATGAATTTATAGGCAAGATATGTTTGCCACAGACCATAAATGTGCTATCATAACAAAAATGCCTAAGGTTGATTTTTTAATTGTCTCCAATTAGGAAAAAATTATAAAGTTTGTATGAATCCACATATCATAGATAAATGCGGTGGCAAATGGAAAGGGGTGTCACTGCCTCATTCCATTATGGAATGGAGGAAAATGAAAATGAGGAATTGGCATTTGCTGTTCTCAAAGATGATTGGTTCATAGTGTTAATAAGAGTAGCCTCCAACGTTGCAATTGATGTGAACCAAATGTCAAATGTTCCTCACTTTCAAAAATAATCCAAAGAGTTAGCAGGGCACAAAAGACTATCATAACGCTTGCCCCACACTCACCAAATTTTCGAAGAAGGTAACCCTAAGGTATGATAACAGTAATTCACAACATTATTTCACCAGAAGAGAGTATTCTGTGTTGCCAAAGACCATGTTAGAATCTGAGCTGGGAATGTGGGAAGGATGATAGAGGAAGCAATCTTGGTTTCAGTTTAACAGGAGGTCAGTAAGTCTGTGCCACATATGAGGAGAACATCAATGCAAATGACAAACAGAAAGAGAGTCTCCCTAAAAGACAATGATATTTTATTTGGGAACAGAGCACAGCAATGTGCATACAGATGCTGTAGTCAACTATGTGTGCATATTCAGGAAGTAAAGAAAAAAATGAGGATTACAAAAATTTTTCTGAAATAATAATCCATGATTAGAAATCTTTTTTTTTTTTTT